TATCTTTATGTTCATGAAGAGAGGGGGAATTTTGTCACTGTTTTGGGGTCTTTGTTTTTACCATCTGAGAAATGGGTTTGCAGAAGAGTGCTGGAAGGGTAAGGACAGAGTTGATGTGCCTTGGGATGCCAGAAATGGTGCGTTGTGAAGGATGGGAGCCTCCCGTCCCCTGAATGGTGCAGAGGGGCTGTGGGATGGTGGCAGGTCACTCAGCCTGTGCATTGGTTTCCTGGAGAAAGGATCCCCAGATTATCGCTGCCTGGCCCCTGTATCCACTGCCAGTCCTCAGTGCCGCGGGAGGCAGACAGCATCCCTCCTCCACCCCTCGCTTCCAGGAGGGCTGCCAGGAATTTCGGAGGTTTGAGTTGGTTTTACCAATGGAGACCACTGTTGGATGTAGGCTCATGGATCAGGGATGTGTGCCCACCCTGCCGCGGGGCTGGGGCACCTCTTCCCAAGGCACAAACCTCTTCCAACTGCCCCACGAGGACGTGCCGGCACGTGGGAGTCTGCACCCTCCTTCACCAGCACTGACACCGTAATTGCCTCCTGCTCTCGCACCAAACGCCAGGAACTGAAAAATCGGAGACAGAAATCATGACTTGAGCGGGGTTGGTAATATTATGTTATCTTAAGCTCATGATTTTGGGGGCAGCCCCGTGCATTTTTTGGACATGGACTCAGACGTTTTGCACCCGTTGAGCCAGGCAATGCCAAACATTCAGGGTAGAGAGCGAAGAACAAAATATGTCACTCGTGTCTCCTGTGACCTAGCCGCCAGCACGGGGCTAGCGGAGACGCCTGCGAGCAAGGGCTGGGATGCTTTTTGCATCCAAATGCAGCCTATTTTTTGCTGGGGGAAGTAAAACACACGTTTCCAGGGTCCTTGTCACCACTCAGAGAGGACAACTGACCCCATGGCTGCCCCCTCCCCAGCACAGCACAGCCCCGCTCCCCACCGCTTCAAGCCTTTATTTGGGACCGAGCAAGACCATTGCTCATCGCCACATGCCCCCAACAAATCCCAGCTGTGAAACACTTCAGAAAGTTTTTTTCCCCCCTAAAAAGCCTCCAGGTGATGCATGCCCATGATTCCCAGCCTGCTGCTCCCTCCGGGCTCCATGGCCCAAACACTCCCAAGGACCGTTAAAGGTCCGTCAATGCGTTTTAATTGTGCAGTAACCAGGGCCGGTGTTTTTGTTGGACCGTGACCCAGCCTGCAGAGCAGACACGTGGCTTTGAAGCTCACCCGGCCGCCGCTTGCCCCATCCACGCTGCCAATTATCCACCGTGCGACAGTCTAACGCGGGCAGGTTTACCTACCTCTGTGGGGGTTGTGGGGTTTAATGAATGTTTCCAGCATGCTTTGAAGACGAAAAATGCTCTAAGTGTTAAGTATTAGAGTGATTTAAGCATGTGGAGCAGTTAGGACTCGCTCACACCGTCCTTCCTGCAGTGCTCGAGCCCTGCTTAGGTTTGCTTTTGCTGAGCCTGCCCTTGCTATCAGTGTCCCTCCTCTGGAAGGACCCGAACCGGGACATTTCGGCAGGTACCGTAACGCTGCAAGCAGCACTGGGGACAAAAGAAAAACACTTGGGTCAAAATAAGGTTCTTGCTCCCTCCCCATCTTCTGTACCATTTAAAAAAAAAATTGGTTGGATATTACACTTTTTAAGCTGTAACAGTAGAACTTTCCCACGCTGCCTCTCCATTTAGCAGCTGACAAGCCAGACCTGTAATCACGATCTTTATCCCGAGACAAGCTAAAAAACAAAATGTTTCTGAAACGCTGAAGGTAGGTGAACATTTTCAGTGTCACATATTAAGGTGGTGTCTAACGAGCTCCATGTCCCACTTATAATTGAAACAGAAGAGAGTATTCACTTTTCATTCATTTTTAAAAGACTATTCAAATACCCTTTCATCTCTGCTAAACAGCCTGCCATGTATTTGAAGCCATTTTATATTTTGTTTCTACAGACATCCAAAAAACAGAGGTGAGTATTTTGGAACATTGATAGAAAGATGCAAAGGCTTGTGAGGCACTGAATGGCTTCAAGCTGCCTCAAACACATTCATCTTCCCAAGAAGAATTAGGCACAGTGTGATTCATTTTAATAGCAGAAGAAAAATAATACTACGATGTAGTGCTAAGTTCCCAACCTTTGATGGTAGACTAAAAAAAGAGAGAGAGGGGGGAAAAAAAAAAACCTTTCTTCCCTTATGTTGTTGAAGTCTCCCTACACCCATCCGTTATGTCCAGCTTATCAATTAAGATGAACCCCATGAACTTCAGATGGTTTTTTTAAAACAAGGCACCATCCATTTAAATGTGTAAAACTGCCTGCAGCTCCCTTGAACTGCAGGATTCAGTCCAGAGCTCTGTGTACTCGGTGTGAAGTTGAGCCCTTTGATAGAAGTTTTACTGATGTTTTAAATGAAGTGTTCTCATACACACAAAATAACCCAGATAATTTAAAACCTCATAGAAAAAATAGGGTGGGGAGAGGAAAAAAAAATAGTCGGTGCCATTGGTGTAGGAAAAGAAAAGAGGCTGGCTTTGGTTACCAACAGGACAGACCAAAAGCACTTCCACAATTGCTTTCCCAGGGTTACTTGCCTGAGCTGGGGAAAGTCTGGGCAACAGCTAGGAGACAAATCCATCCCTGGTATGGGCAGCTTCCCTCAGGAACAAATTAAGCTCGTTCAGCTATAAAATAGGTTTTGTACCATAAATACCAGTGTGAGGGAAGGGTAAGAGCTCCCTGGGGTTTGTCCTGCTCAGCTGCTTCCATCGAATCCCTCCCCAGTTCATCTCTGCCAAAGCAGCCACGTGAGCCAGGGCTCTGCAAAGCTGGGTTTTGCTCCGGCAGGTGATGCAGGTGAGCAGTTCCAGCTCAGTCACACCTGGGTGAGGCTGTGACCACCCTCCATCGCCTAAGGATGAAGCCCTCTGATGTGCCAGGGCCCTGTGGGAGAGCTCCAGCACCGGGACCCCCACGTCCCTTTGAGCATCACACCCTGGCTTCATTATCCCGCTTACAGAGCAAGAGGAAGTCCCCGCTCCTCTATCAGCCCGGTCTCGCCCCATCAGGTAGGCTTGGCAGTGCAGACTACACTAAATTTGTAGCTGAGTTACCTGAGCGAGCTGTAAATGATTTAATCATTGCACTGAAGGGCAGCCCCAGCGTTTGCCTTGCCTGCTTGTGCTGCAACCGCTTCCCAGCAGGGATAGGTACTGCCAAGGCTCAGCTACTGTTTCCAGCTACCACCATGCATGAGAAGAAACCTTTAAAGGCATTAAGGGTGAAAAAAAAGTCAGACAATATTAATTTGAAAAATATAAAATTTTAATAAAGGCTACATCTCTTAATTACAATAATTATTGTACCAAGTAATTTTTTTTTAAATGAAACTCTTTATAATGCATAATTTACAGTATAAGTAGAACAAAATGCCATGGCAAAAGTCATGAGTACAGGACTTGTAATAAAAGGCATAAAATATATTTATACATAAACCCCTTAAACAAACAAGGGAAAGCTTGAACCCTGAATATAGGGCGACGCATGGCCTCGTAACACCATGCAGGCACAGGTACTGTACTGATTAAATTTTTAAAAACACTAGAGATAGTGTATTAATATTTTCACCATACATTTTCTACAATATATACAGACTTACACAAAGTAGCAATGGCAAACAGAATGCACAGATTAACTTAATCAACACAAAACCCAACTGTAGAAATGCAAGGTCTTTCTCGGAAAAGGGTCGCTCTGTCCCAGCACCCACGCACACGCACACACGAAGCTCTGCCAAGGCTTGCAGAGAGCCTTCGCCCACATCTCCCACGGGCTCACATGGGTGTTGTGAAGGTAAGGCCAAAAAAAAAAAAAAAAAAAAAAACAACCAAAACAACAAGCCACAAACAAAAACCCAACCAAAAACCACCACACAACGAATCACGCTCTCCACACCGATCTGAAAATATGCCCCATCGTAGTTACATGTCGTTGAAATACAAGTTGTGCTAACGTTGAAGTAGAATGGCTAAAAAAATTAGCTAGCTATGTGGAATACATATGGGTTTTTTAATCTCCTTTTGGTGTGCTAAGTATGGAGACAGGAACTGGATGGCTTCTCGTACAGCTCTCCCACGCTCAGGGGTTTGCTCTACCTTGCCTTAACCGAGAGGCACCGGACACCGTGTGGTACCCTCACCACTGACAGCAGCAAAGCAAAACCTCACACCACAGAAATCCATGATGAAGTAACAAGTTGCTGTTGTTATATTGCATCTAACATATTTAACGCTTAAGACCTTTATTTCAAAATAGAGCAGCATAGATTAAAATGCACCGGTCTCTAGATGAATGGTAGGACAGTATTTTTATTTTGGGTTTTATTATTATTATTTCTTTAGAAAACTTTTATCTTCACTTGGAGAAATACTGGGCATGTCACTCCTTCCCTCCTCCCCCTTCAAAAAAAAAAAAATCATGAATGCGCTCATAGCCAAACTCCTAAATTTTAGATAGTGGGAACAACATAAAAAAATAAAATCCTTGCTCCCATCATCCCACTTCCCAGCCCCTCTCTTCTCCATTGTTAAAGCAGCATATCCAAAAACTGGACTTAAGGGAAAACAGACTGTTCAATAAATATCAATAAGGATTACTGTTAAGGTAAGCTATACACAGTTTCTCTTAGTCCATAGATTTCAGATCCCCGGGAAATCATATATTATGTATGGAAGTCTCTCAAACACGGTCTGCATCTCCAATAGCCAACAGTGGTCATGTTTTTAATAAATAGTTCAGGGGTTTTATCATCTCAGTACCCAACTCATGAATAATAAATGCCATTTTTTTTTCCTCTAAGGCTAATTCAGCAAAGTCTTCATAGACTTCACTTTTTTCTTCATTGGTTCAACACTTTCCTTCAGAGTTTTTTTTTTTCTCCTTGTCATCACTACTGTTGTGTGTCCAAAGACTTTTCTAGCTTAACTTTTCTTAAGAAACACAGATGCCATCAATCGATCCTTTCTACTTTCCCAAGAATCCTTCCTTCGTACATTGGCAGGATGGTTTCATCTTCCCAAATCTCTTCAAACACCGCACCGCAGTCAAACTCGTCGCTTGCTTTTTTGAAGTAGTATCTGTGGTAAGGAGAATTAAAACACAGTTAAAAATCAAAAGGTAAAGCAAAGGATGCTTTGGCAGTTCTTTTAACCACAGTATTTCCAATCTCTCCCTCCTAGGATGCTCCTCCAGCACCCAGAGTGGCCAGCAAAACCTCAGGGCTGCTGAGGTCCAGCAACATGAAAGCATCCCCGGGGCTGCAGGGACGGCGACGGGACGGAGGGAGCAGGGCTGTGCACGCTCCTCAGCGGTGACAACAGCTTCTACAGCGAGTAAGTTATAAGCATTGGCAGTGGATATCCTCAGCCGTAAAGAAAATAAGAAAGCGTGGTGATTTCTGGTAAAGTATCTTATTTAAAAAATAAATAAATAGAATTTCAAAGCAAAGCATTCTCAAGGTTCCCCTCTCTCCCCACCTTCTTTCTTTCATGTGTTTTCTTGTTTCAAAGCTGAAGCCCAACATTAAAATTAGCAACTGTTATTAAAAGGAGAGGCTTTTTAGGCATACGGATGGATTAAAAGAAAACCATCCCAGCTTCCTGCAATGCAAAAGCTGAAACTCTGCGGTACTCCTACTGGAAAAAAAACCCGGGAGCCTCACATTCGAAACAACCAAATGCCTAATTCACGTATCCATTTTAAGTGACAGAAACTCCTGTATTTGTTTCCCGACGCTTCCCAGCAGTCAGAGGCGCGGAGCAGCCCTGGTCCAGCCTGCGGGACGTGACACCGGGAGGTCAAGTAGCAGTGTCCTGCAAAAAAAAACTGCTCTTTTGCTCCGGGTCGTTAGATCATGAAGCCAACGCTCCCAGAGACAAAAAGCACCCCCACCCCTCCTATGTCAAACAGTAAGGACCCCTCTATTATCCTGAATTAGACCGTTCAGCTTCTTGATTAAAGGTTCCTTTTATCCCGTTTGGAGCTTTCTTCCTTCTAAGGCTGCTTAATTGCATATGCACAAATGAAGGGCTTCCATTCAGAGGGGTAGCATTTAGGGAGCCTGTCCGTCTGCCGCCGCACACCTCCTCGGACATGCCTGCTCCCTTGGAAAAGTGCTTTGCCATCTGATCGCCAGGGATGGAAAAACCTTCATCAGATGGATTACAAAGCAAAATATAAAAAAATTAACCCCTCCCACACCCCTCCCCTGTAGTTTCTAGACAACTGGTGTTGGCAGATGTTTGTTAGGGGAAAGCGTTTTGCAATTATTATTTTTTTAGGATGGGAAAGGAGATCAAATTAAGCTCACTTTTACTATTAAAACTGAAAGAGCCGCAGCAGGGTCTTAGAATTTGTTTGATTTTTTTTTTTTTTTTAGTGACTGTTCTATAACACGTTTTTAAAATACTCGGTAACAACGGCCTGCGAATCTATTTATTTTTAGGGTACGTTAAAATTATTTTGGTAGGGGGATAAAAGCTGGCTTTTTAGTCCAAGAGATGAAACCAGCTCCATTTAGTCAAGGTATGGTTAGGATTTATTTTTGTAAAGTCATTCCAAGCTGACACATGTTGCGTCTTTAATGGCTCAGCAAGGAAAAACATCTTATTTAAGTCCTTCAGAGCCTGCGCTCATTGAAGTCAATGGCCCAACTCCCACCAACTTTCATGCTGCAGGTCAAGGCCACAATTCCCCAGGCCAGCAGCCTTGAAACAAAACCAAAAAAGCCCAAGGAAAGTTTGAATGAATTACAAAGAACTTTCTCTTCCCTTTCCCCTTCTCCGCCCCTCTCCAGATGAAAACACGCTATGACCTTTTACATAATTACAACCTTATTTCACAGAGAAAAGGGGGGGTAAAAAAAGAAAAAGAGGAGGCAAAGCAAAAAAAAAAATCCTCCCCCACAACATCTTCAAACAAGTCACTCTGCTCTTATTTGCTCAAAAATGGGCTTTCCATTGAAACATATTTTATGTGGCAAGCTTTGCTCTTTTTTTTTTTTTTATTTTTTTGGGACATCTGGCACCAATCGAGGCGAGCAGGCCTGGCGTTGCAGCTCTGTTTTGAACCGCTGCCATCTTCAGATTACCCGACACCACCCAGTTTTTTTGTGCGTGTATGTTTGTTTTTTGTTAACGCCATCAGTATTAAATCACTGCTTAATTCCTTCTTTTTTTTTTGGGGGGTGGGGGAGGAAAGCAAAGCGGCGATTTCCCCGGCAGGGCCAGCCGTATGGCTCTGGCATCGCGGGAGCCCGAGGTACCCGCCTCGCAAACTGATCCAATCAATAAAGAATTTGGAGAGTGGAGCATTTCTGCATGTCTTTGTGCATTAAATGAAAGGCAACGGCTTCAAAGACATGCTTATTAAATGTGCCTTAAAAAGAAATCAATGCCAGATGTGACCAAAGCAGCCTACTTAGTGCCTCCCCGTAACACACACGCTACTCCGGGCACTGTGGACCTCTTCCCTGAAGGTCACCCGCAGTTTCACTCAAAGTCCAGCCAAAAGTCAAAGCTGAGATCAAAATGATTCCCTGGAGGTACACACATTTGTGTAATTAGTTTCACCTTGTGTCTGTGCAAGATAAAATACTGGGCACGTACCCAAGTTCCTTTTATAAATTTCTGTATTGTCTTTACCCAGGTGTAAAGGGGTGAGATCTAAGCAAAACGTTGTTTCATCCTTGTCAGTCACTTAAAAACATTTTCTAAAGTAATTACAGTCTGACAAGGCACAAATAATTGCACCTGGAGGGGCTTTTGGGCCACAGAGGTTTTAGTAGCCTACTCCTGCACTCAGGCATCACACAAAAAATGTCACAGAAATCAAACAAACAAACAAACAAACAAAAAAAAGGAATTGGGGGAGGGAGGGGGGACTACACATCCACTGGAGCAGTTGGCAGACCAGTGGCGAGGCCAGAGAAACTGGTCTGCAACTGGGGCATGAGGCTGCATCAGCCAGAGGAGGAGTGCAGCAGGCCAGGAGAGGCTTTAGGGGCTGGAAAATAGTGCGACGGTGCAAGAAGCCCAGGGACCTCTCCTGGAGGTTGTCCAGGTTGGGTGTACTTGCAGGTTGCTGCCATCTGATGGCAGCTGGGCGGGCTGCGAAGACAGTTTTGGGGAAGGATTGGCCGTATTTCAGCCCCACTGTGCAACAGCCATAGACAGACCCCAGCTCAGCATGAAAGCACCCTTAGGTGACCTACTCCTGATCTGCACAGGTGGACTTCCCAAAGCTAGAGACAGGCCAGTGATGGAGCACCAGCTGGAAAGTCCTCGTACCAAAACCAAATGACCATGTGGAGGTTAAATCAGAGGCCGGCAGTTAGAGGGCAAGCCTTCTGGCGCTCTGAAGCACCACCAAATTCCATGCAAATTCAAAACTTAAAGCTGGAACTTCCCTCTCCTGCTCACCCTGCAGGAGAAGTGGCCAACAGATGATCCCACTAGCGCCCAGATCCACTGAGAAAGTATAGCAAAAAATAGCTAATATGAAGTTACTGCCATGGGAACTAGAAGAGCAGGGGAAGCAGCAAACTGGTTAAACTGGGATCTGGGCCCTGGAAACCAGACAGGCAGGGTTTGTTGGTGTTTCTGAGGAGGAACTAGGTATTGCTGGTGGAGCCCTCCCTGCAGGGCAGAGGTTTCGTCCCCTAACGAAGAGAAAAGTGAGCTCACTGCGTCTTAGCTACACATCCACTCAGATGCACCATCCCAGCCTTTCACTGATCACATTTACGGGCACACCATTGCAAAAAGAAAAAACCAATTACAAACGAAAAAATCAAATGAGTAGTCAAAGCAGGAGGCCAGCACCAAGATGAATGCTGACCCCAGTTTGGAAACCGAACCCCACTGCTCCATGCCTTCGCCACAGGGCCATCCCAGTGCTTCCTGGTATTCAAGCTTTTTGGACAAGGGTTGGAGCACGAAGCCTGCCAGCCTGCATCCTTATGCAACTGGGTGAGGAGGCTGGGGAGGGAGATGGAGAGGAGGTGGCCCCGCAGCCAAGCTGCAGCTCAGGGCCCCTTTCTCCATCTCCAAGTTGCTCTTGGTTCGAGTGGGAAGAGAATAAGAACATCTACAGCCCCTGAAAAGTGAGGTAAATGTGTCATTGCGGGTAGACCTGCAAAATATCTGCTGATTCTTTTGACTTATTAGACTATACTAAAGAACAAACAAATCTCAGATTCTTACCTGTAATTCCCCTTTTTGCTCAGCTGTTCTTTAAAGTGCCCAAGTGTCAGGCTCTGGGCCTTTAACATCCTCCTGTAGGGAATTTCTTCTCCGCAAAAAAAATAGGTGACAACCAACTCGCTCGACTGAGAGGTGTGAACAACTGGCAGTTTCTTTGGCTCTTTGTGACTGAAAAACAGAAAACACACACAAACCCCTCTATTTTTCCATCTGAGAACAAGCCGTTTCACTGCACTCAATCCAGCAGTGTTCCTGCCACACGTAACGCTGGTCAGAAATATCCTGGGTGTGACCCAAAAAGTCAGATATTCCTGTACTCGCCGTGAATTTGTCATGCTGCATTTGCACGGCCCTTTGCTGGGCTCCCACAACGGCTCCTGCTCACTGCGATGGTGGGATCGTGGCATCGCAAAACACCCTGCCGCAGGCAGCAGAGACCTCATACTGTTTTATGGATGGGAGAACTGAGGGATGGAGGCGAGATGCTTGCTGGAAGCATCAGAGCAGGACCGTGGGCCAGGTGAGCACACGTAGGGCTCACCACGGGCTAACCTCTACCTAGCGAGCCCCAGTATTGGACACCTCCGATTTTAAAAGGCTCGTTTCATCTGCCTTCATATAAAGCATCTGCCAAGCTTCCTCCTCATGCACAAAACCACCTGCAACCACCAACAGCGAACAAAGCAAAACCACCGCCAGATTCTTCACCTGAAGTACACAGGTAATCTTATTTTTCCCAGTGAGGACAAAATTAAGTGGATCTTGTAATTTGCACTAAGAAACCCTTCTTAAAGAATAATTAAAACAATATTACCCAGCAAAATGGCAACGCTCTAGTGAATACCATGCAGCCAAATCTACAACTGTTTCTGAGGCAATGTACACTTGGCATGTCAAAAGGTCACAAAGTGTTAGTCCGCAGTAATTTAGTCTTCCTAATTTGTTCTAAGTCTTTGTAGAGTGGCTTCAGAAAAAAAGCTGCTAGCAAAGACAGCTGGTGGACTTAAGGTCAACCAATTAAAAATGAAAGGCTCTAGTCAGGTGGCTCAGTCTGGACTTCAAACATTACTCATTGCTTAAGATGAAGAGGGTAAGAAAGAAAACTTTAATTATTTAGGCCATTTTAGACCTCTCTGTAGCAGATTTCTTGTTAAAAGAACCATCCTGTAATTAGACTAATCCAATCTTTGTCCACTTTACAGGAATGCAAGTTAAAAAGAGCCAGAGACAAGATTTGAAAATGTTTTGTTCTTTCTTTAAGAAGAATGTTTGAAAGACGAAACTTCAGATATAAGAATTTCCTCTCTTTTCAAAGCCCAATCCATTTAATGAAAATATAATTATTATATATATATATATTTCCCAATGTTTTTATGCGTATGCCATACTCACTCTTCTGTCGTTAGACTTGCATTGCAGAAAGGGGTGTTTCCCCCCTGAACGGCAGCCGAGTGGTTTCGATCCCTCTGCTGATTTGAGGTTGAACATCTGAAGTGGAGAGGGGGAGGGCAAGTGGGGAAGAAAGGGAAAAAAAAAGGGGGGGAAGGAAAAAAAACTTTAAAAAAAAATTGTTGAAATACAATCTTCTTAATTGAAGTCTCCTGTGGGTCGTTAAGTTTGCTCTTTGTATCAACCCTCACATGTTGTAAACAATCAAAGGAAGAATTAAAAATGCTGTGGGCTAATTTATCCTTCCATACCCAAATGAACGATAACCAGTCCAATTCTCCACTTGGTATGTAGCTGGAGTCCGTCCCAGAGGAAAAATGGGCAAATTACAGCCATCAAAAGAGTGGAAGTAATAGTCTAGGATTCAAACTATTTGTGCCGGGGTAGGGTGGGGTTGGAATAAGGAGGCTCATCCTTGGGGCTCGGCCAAGCCGTGCCGTCACGCGTCCCCACAGTCCTGGCCCCATGGCTGACCCTCTACCTAGACAGGGAGGACACCATCCACCTTCACCCACCGCCTTGCCTGCCATCAGCCCGAGCGCTGGCTGAAGATGAGCACAACCAGCACCCAGCAAACCTCTCCTACCCCTGCTGCTCCCCAAACCCCACCATGGGACCAGGACCATCCCTCCCGTGGCCGTTACCGTTGCTTCTGCGGCTTTGGGACCCCGGCGGGGCCGGGGGGCGCCGCCCCCCGCCGCGCCGTGGGCGGGCTGCGCCCCACGCGGGTGGCTGCCGGTCCCCCACGGGTGGTGGCGGCCGGGGGCCCCCTTGGCGAAGTCGGAGCTGTAGGCCTTCTTTGTGCTTTGTGTGCTTGGGGAGGGGAAGAAGTCGGGTTAGAAAAGCTGGAAAATATGACTTTAATAGCAGCTCCTATTCTGCTCGCTCCCTCTCAAAAGTCTGTCATAACATGAAAGGAGGTTTATTGCCAAAAACATGACATTTTTGTGGTTTTTCTGGTTCTGCGGAACAGCTTTTATATTAAACCGGAGGAGCAAAGAGTCTCATTTGTTCTTAGCGATTGTAAAAATAGACAGCCCATGTAATATATAAATATTTACCGGGAGCGATATTGCTGTAGACAGCTGCGTATTTACCTATGGGGCTTGTGCTTATTTTGTCTTTCGCTCTCCAGCATCCACTGCCAGACGTTCTGCGCCCGGTCCGCCTCGCCCCCTGGTAGCTGCACCCCGCCAGGGCCAGGCAGCCCCCCGTCCCCGGCCGGCAGGGCGACGCTCTCCGCTCCTCTGCCCGGCCTCTTCGGCAACGTCCCTGTCCTGCTGATGGTGAGAAGGGGACAGGAGCCCGCCATTAGCCCCCTGTGCTGCTGCGGGGCTGTGCCGATCAGCCCGATTGCAGGGGGATGATGGGGTGATGGTGTGGGGTGGGTGCAATGGAGAGAGACGCTCGTGACTTACCCAAAGGGCTCCAGCGGAGGCAGAGGGGGGTCTGTGCTTTTCGGGTGGCCCTTGCACTTGGGGTAGCAGAAGTAGTCGCTGCCTGTTGGGCAGCAGCACTGCACCCGCTGAGCCGCCTCCGCTTCAATCTGCTCCTTCGTCTTGGGCACGGTGTGGTGGTGGATGTAGTGGTGGTGTACGTGCTTGGTGGTCTGCTTGGTGATGAATCCCTTACCCACCAAGGCACACGCTGCCGACGAGGCTGCGCCAGGCTGCAGCTTGCCCATCAGCAGGCGGTCGGGGGAGCGGGCGCGGGGGCTGTGCCGGCCCATGCCGGGTGACTGGCAGCCGGGGGTCTTCAGCACACGGGAGAGATGCTCATCCAGGATGGCCTGGGGGTCCTCCTCATAGCTGCCGGAGGGCAGGAGCGAGAGCGGGTGCTGCGGATGCTGGGGGTTCACCATCTCCCGACTGCTCTGCAGGCTGGCGGGGAGCTCCGAGCCCTCTTTCTCCTCATCCTGTTAGCCAAGAGATGGCAAGGAATAAATGCAAGAGGACAGGGAGCCGGTGAGGTGTGCACCAGGATGTCCCCCCATGGGCTCACGAATTGCAGTGTGATCAAAATGCGTTCCTCCCTGTGGGCAGGATACGGTCCCCTCCCACCCCCCCCAAGCCAGGCAGCACGCGGCAAGCTCTGCCCGACCCCAGGAGGGTTAATCCTCCTACCTCCTTGATTTGCTGCAGCCTCTCCTCCAGACTGTCCATGGTTTCCTGCTCCTGCTTCAGCTTCTCCAGTCGGGAAATGAGCTCCGCAGCGAAGGCAGCCGGCTCCACTGGGGTCATCTCCTTGGGAAGACGGTGGGTCCTCTACAAGGAGCGGGGACAGAAGGCACAAGGCATGTTTAGCGGGCGGCACGGGTGCTTAGCTGGAGCGGCATCGCCGGCCCCGCTACGCTTGTTGTGTCTCCATGTTTGGATGAAAAGACGACCGCAACTAGGCATGGTCTGCTCTGGATTTTTATGAGCTAGTGCTGTGGCCTCATGGAGTGACATCCTCCCCACCAGCGTTTGCCTTCGGCAGGAGCAGTTGGTCGCACTCTGAGGAACCCCGCTTGTTCTCTCTGTAGTACAACCAGCCCATCAGTAGCTACTCTGAAGTAGAAAATCTTCAAAGACTGTTGTCAAACATCAAAAAAAAAAAAAAAAAAAAAACCCCTGAGGGGGGAGGGGAAGACTTTCACGCAAGGAATA